GCTGAGGTGTTTTCCACCTGAAGCTAGCGTGTATAATCTTGATGATTATGTTTAATTTCTGAGATCTTCTTATCGCTTTGTGCTGTACGATTGATTTCTGCTTTTCCATAATGCCGAAACAACCACCTGGTTGTCCGAAGTCGAGCAAAAGCATTCACATGTGTTATGTGTCACCTTAAATTCCATATTTCATACATTGAACTATTGATTGAGCATTTTTGGCGTTATCGTGAAATCCAACATGATTTCGTTCAACTTTTGTGTAAGAATTGCCGAAACGGGATACAGACGGAGAAAGTAGAGCGGAATCGCAGGCCGCCTTGTAGAGTAAATCATTCCGTTGGGAGCAGCTCCGCGATTTGGCCAAACAAGCTGGCCCGAAGCGCCTCCAGGTTTCAGATAACCTTTCCTATTCGTCCCATGCAAACTGACCGGCACAAAATTCCGCAGTTACCAGCAACACAGTTACACCTGGCACGAATATTTTACCTCTGTTTTATCCTACGAGCACAGATGTCCTGGTGTGTGAAAGCCTGTTTACTGAAGTCACGTGGAAAGTACAAGCAGCCGCTGCAAATCAACGGCAGGCCAGAGCACCTGCAGTTTGAGAAGATCCCCGCTCTGCAAGGTCAACCTTGATCGACCACAGGCGTTTTAACCTCGTGATCTTCCACGCGCTTGATTCCAGCGATCCAGCTCCCCAGATACGCTACGATCATGGTGTCGAGTTTCTTCAAAGCCTAATTCATAGACTCCTCTACGTGAGGGCGGACGGCTTGCAAGTGAGGCAAATTACCCGTCCTGGAGAGAAAGGTGATCAACAAAGTCGACCAATGAGAATCACTGTTGTGGACGAAGTCAGTCTGGGGTTGATCTTGTTCGGATTAAGTAGGTTGAAAGACCTAAAGCTCCATGTTCGTCCAGACTTAAATCCGGTGGTTCGAAAACGACTCAAGTCTGCAATCATTGAGCTGAAGAGACGAAACAAATCTCCGTATCATAAATTTTTGGATCGTTTCCTAGATTCCACGACATCACTCTCGCCAAAAATTCTACTACCTGGGAAGTTTTATCAGCGCCCGTGGGATTGAAGGTGAGATAACGAGCCGTATAGCAAAAGCTCGAGGCGCTTTTGCTAACCTCCGCCACTTATGGCGCCGGCGCGACATCACACTCGCTCTGAAGGGTAGAGTGCACAATGCAGAAGTACGTTCGACCCTACTGTACGGTTGTGAAACCTGACCTCTTAGATCAACTGACCTAAAGAGGCTAGTTACCTACGATCACCGATGCCTTCGTAATTTAGCTCACATCTGGTGGTAACACCGAGTAAGCAACGAGCATGTTCGACTCCTTGTTTACGGTACAGGGAAAGGAAATGAATCGCTCAGCACCGTCATTTCACGCACCAGGCTCCGATGGCTCGACCACGTGTTGCGCATGCCAGCCCACCGACTTCCGCGAAGTGCGTTGTTTGCGCACCGGGGTTGTGGATGGAAGAAAAGGAGAGGTGGCCAAGCGATGACTTAGTCGAGAGGAATGAAGGTTCTCACTTCGAAGCTGGCCTCGGTTGTAGCGTCTCGGCTCCCTGGTTGGGATCCGGAAGACGATGAACACGTTTGGTTGGATACACTTGCTGATATGGCTAGCAGCCGACCTCAGTGGCGTTCATGCTGTGAGTTTCTTTGTCCAACCCCATCCCTCTTAGCCTCCCCCTCAAACCACGATCTCACTATTTCGCCTTATATAATTTTGCATAGTAATTTTTTGTTGTTGAATAATGGCCGGCAGGTAGCTTACCGGTAGCACCGGCTTGCACCTGTTGCACTTTATTCCCTTTTTTCTTTTAGGTATTGCGGCACAGTAGCTGAGGTGTTTCCCACCTTTAGCTAACGTGTATAATGATGATGATAATGATGAGTAAAAAGAAGGATAACCAATTCGCTCACACTTCAAGCACGCTTTGGTGTTTCCTGCTGCGGTCTACGTGTAGCCTTTGTTAACATTTGTAGTCTAATAAACAAACGCGATGAACTCTGTCCTTTCGTTTCGTATAAGCCGCCAGGCGTAATGGGACTCTCAGAACTGGCTGAATTCTGAAGTGATGTCCCAGGAAATCGATCTCAGCAGCTATTTATGCATCCGCTGCGATGCACTCTCGGCTGGCTGCATTGGCTTTCTGCTCTACATCCGATTCTGCTTGTGTGTGTGTGGGAGAGAGAAGCGAGGATGCTCTGTGTAAGTAGCTGCCGTTCTCGGTCCACCTCAGACAAGGGGAGCTGCTGGTGGGTGCATTTTATCGCTGTCCTCTAAAGCCGTTGTCTGGATTGGCCGTCGGATCTCCGAAGCCACATGAGTCATCCTTATTTTTTACTCATGGACGATTTCAGTTGTCCTTGAATGCGCTGGCCAGAAGTTGAATTCACGCCCGGACATTGATTGCCAGCTCGAAACAAAGTCTGTGGACTTAGTACTTGAATAGCGCTCAACTGCGTCGTGCCTAGACTTGGTGTCAACAAGCTGTGAACAACATGTATATGACGTTCAGGTCCTGGAACCCCTTACAGCAAGCGATCACTCAGTGCTCATAGCCAGAATGGATCCATTTTTACCGTATCCACCTCCGCTGGAACCATCTTACGACTACTGCAAAACTAACTTTGACGGTCTAACTCAAGCGGCGAGTCAATTGGATTGGTCTCTGTCGCAATCTGCATCTGTGGAAGACTTGGACTATTAAGGCCATGGGGCCATATACAGACAAAGAGATGGAGTAGCAATGGGCTCACCACTTGGACCGCTACTGGCGGATGTGTTTTTTAGCAAATTAGAGGATACTTATCTGAGCGGAGTCATTACCAGTCTACCATATTACGGACAATATATGGATGATATATTTTGCTTGACAAACAGGCAATGTTGCCCAGAAACAATTTTATCCCATTTTAACTCAGCACACCCTAATGCCAAGTTCATTCTAGAAACTGAAGTCAATGACACGATGTTCTTCCTAGACGTTCAGCTTAGTAGACGACCAGATGGATCAGTTCAACGGAGGGTGCATAGAAAAACAACGTGGAACGGACAATATATACATTTTGCTAGTTTTGTCCCAATAAATCAGAAACGCAACTTGATTAGATGTCTATCCGAAAGGGCCAGAAGGATTTTTAGTGAGGATACACTTGCGGACGAGCTCAGTTTCTTAAGTGGCGTTTTCGAGAGAAACGGCTATCCAGAACAATTTGTTCGGAGATATATGGAGTGCAGAGAAATGAGAGCTACACCAGCTTTGGTAGAAAAGAAACCGGTTTATTTGTCGTTTCCGTTCAAGGGGGATGGCATAGCGCAGGCAACACTTAGAAGATTATCTGACGCTATGAGTTATACGTATTACGCAGCGAGCTTGCGGCTAAGTTTCACTTCAACACCAATCGTGAGGCCCCCAACTCAAAGACAGACTTTCCCGGTCATGTACTTCTTATTGTGTATATTCCTTCTCTTGTTCATGTCGAGCAAGATACATTGGAAGAACTACTTGGAGCCTGTCTGAGAGAATACGCGAGCATTGTCCAGCTAATCTACGCAATGGTGGAAGAAAAACTGTGGTGAGCGCCGTGTTGGCACACTTGGTTGATTCTAATCCCCAAATCGAGACCCGCCATTTACCGTGTACCTGGACGCTTTTCACGAGCGGTAAAATGTCGTATACTAGCAGCAGCTGAGGCAATTGCTATCCGCCACCAGAACCCAGATTTATGTGCTCAAAAACGGTTCGTTCAGATTCTGTGTTTGCCCTGGTCCACTATCACAACGCCTCATGTTGAGGGACCTGCCGCCGATAAGTCATCGATCACTTCTGATCGAATTACTTAGCATTTTCATTCCAATGACCTTGAACTTTACCCTTTACGAGAATTATCATACGAAGACCGGTGCGAGAAACTAAGACTCCACACCTTGTTCTATCGTGTGGTGCGAGTCGGTCTCATGTCATCATGACCTACCCTATATTACATCCCTTTGACTTCCCATGTTGACGCCGCTGCTTCACTTGCAAACGCCATGCAACACACGCGGACGTCGTGACAAGCTTGTGGTGCCGGATATAAAACGATTACCCCACCCCTTTGCTTCGAACGGAGAGTGCTATATGTTTGGAACAGTCTGCCAGAACACATCGTGGAGGCTAAATCTGTACATTTCAAAATGTTATTGGATTTCCATCTCAGCACCATTCGATTCAGGGAACGCTTACACGCTGAGAATGATAGCAAACATTTGTGAGCTCAGTGATACTGTAAGTCAGAGATTTTAAATGCTACATAGGAACTTGAAGAACAATTAGTTTATCACGGATTGCATACACTTGTTATAACATTTTTAATTGTATTGCGATAGAGTTGTGCAGATTGAAATTTCTACTTGCTCCCACATACATTATTCACTATTCATGCGCTTGACCGAACTGTCTCACGTCTGCACGTACCACTTCCACGGGACCTGCTGCTCGGTGTGTACCATCTGTGATTGTAGCCTGAGTATGTAGAATATCTATGGGTATATTTCCATATCGCTTATGATACACTTTTCCTGTAGGTTGACAAAACTGAATTCCAGTCTGGTAGGTGTAGGAGGAGTCTTTATTAAAATTCCGGTGGCGTCTGGTGCATATTCGTCAGTTGTATCCGGTCAATGGTGTTAACGACCAGCGAAGGGATTTCTCTTCGATATTCGTCACTAGGCTCTTACATACCGAAGGCAGGTCAAATCAGTTCTATTCGATTGCGAATAAAAACTACTCTAGCCTTGAACGTATCGCGGAAAATCTCATGGTTTTTTAAATCCAGTTTCTTGTACGATACTCAAGCCGATCCACCCAGGTGACAATGGTCGCGATGGCTGTCCCGTGGACATCATGATGTTGCACTTCTTTTCTCTGCAGTGTCTGAAGCCCTTTGCGACACTTCATATCCCCTGCGTCTTTATTTCCTTTTCAGAGCGGCAATCAGAGCGGCTCTGAATGAGCAAACACACGAACAATTCATGCAATATGCCTCACAGCATTACCCCTCAGACCTGTCCAAAGTAGGTGATTCACTTGACATGATGTTTGGATCGTTTTCGTAACTTACAACGCAAAGCTGACCAGCTTTTCCCTTTGCAGCGGTTCTAACTTTATTTTTATTCTGTTATCTTTTAATTTTTACTGGTGTCACTTCTCCACTAACCTATTCGGACTATCGACGTTTCTCATTAATTATGGACACTTTTTCGATTGGTCGGTTTATCAGTGTCTCACCAGAAAAATGGCTGTCAGAGTAAAATTAAAAGAATGCATTCTCTTTGCTATTCACGTTTAAGACACATCTTCATTGGAATGAAAACGAAGGAAGATTTCGTGGGTGGGCCGCCTGCACAATCTCTAGGCTATTCTTTGAATGCCAATGGATGTTGGAGAGCACCATTTTTCTGTCTGCGTCTTCTCGTCACTCGATGAACCGAGTTCAAATCAAGTGATGCAAATGGTGCCATGCATCGCTGTCATTTTTCAAAAAAATGCGCAGCGTAGACGCAGAAATGGCAAAAGTCGAAAGAGCATTCCACGGCTTTAGTCTCCTACTTCCTCAAAAAATCTTAAAAACATAAAAAGGACTGCTGTAATGGGGTAGAACCCATGCTGTGACAAACTGACAAAGCTAATGACAGGAGACGGTGGCTTATCTAAAATAAGAAACGACAACTCCCTTTTTCAGTGTTCAAATTATTCAAGCACTGTGATCACAGATAAGCCATGACGCAACGTTGTTCCCGTATACTCCACTGATGTGCATCATTGTGAGCTATCACTATCGATGCGAAGTTGGTGGTATTCTGTGGGGAAGCTACTAACAACGATCACTCTTACGTAGCGAAAAGGGAACACCGTTGCATTGTGATGATTTCAACGACAGCGGGCGAAATTCGGTTTAACTTGTGCGGATTGCCTTGTGGTTGGATTGACTAAACCGTTATCAGATAGCTGGTATGTGAGAGGTGACATCATTGGTATATTTCTGTTAAAATGCTTCGAAAGCAGTTATTGGACCAACGTAAATAAAATGGAAATGGCAACCGAATATCCCTCTAAAGAACATCGAGTGAACTCTACACATTTTGGCGATGTGATTCCTCTAAAGGAAGGTTGAATTCTGTATTGTGTCAGACATCCTGACATCAATTCATGATTGACGCAGCCGCAAACACTTTTGTGATCAATGTAGTGGGTGCGATTTGTGTTCCATTTTCTGACCAGAGCAACATGTGTAAGTCAGTCCATATTACTTTAGGTTACAATCTGGAACTGAGTTGAACAAGCTGATGCAGATAATGTCTGAGCTGCGGTGTATCTCACTTCTGACTAACGTATAGAACGATGATAGTTATATCGTTTTGAGAATGATTTTATCAAACACCTTCAAAGCCAAAGAAATGCGCGCAATAGGTCAACATTTTTTGGTTTCCTTCTTTGACAATCAGTGATCCTGTGTCTAGCACATGGCATTAATAATTTCGCAAGAGGTTGAATTAAGAATTTAACCTATTCTGTAAATCACAATGCAAAATGGTATCTTCGGACATCCTGATCTACTGGATTAACGTTTTATGCGTCTCGCTGTCAACAACAGGTAATTGAAACTTGGTGCTTGGTGTTGAAACAACAGCAGTTGTGGCTTGTTAGTTTTACGTTCACTTCCGAATGTATGGCATGGCGAGTTACTCCCTTTAATTGTTTCATCATCTTCCACATCTCCCGATAATTGTCTCGGTATTGTTAGCTCGGCGTAGTGCTTCTTTGGCGTCCGTCGAAAGAAACCTGACCGGGGTGCTATCTACATTTTTGTTCGTTTTTTTTTGAATCCACCCAGTCCCTTGAGGTATTGGAAAGTGAACTTACCACAACTGACAAGTTTCTAGTGAATAGCAAACATCACTTAGTCATAATGCCTAAAGAAATTAATCAATCTTTTAAAGCAACCATTTCTCGTAGCTTCGGGCTGTTTTATGACATGTATTGCTTCATTCTGTATCTGCTTTATGTGCGGCGATAATTTCTCGTTGCAAATATGAGATAGCCCTTCCTTATTCAATCCGCGCCAGCCTTATAGGGGCTTATTTGTAGAAGACCGTTGTGTAACGCGACTATCGCTTTAGACTTTGTTGCTAGACGCAGTGTATGTTCTATTAAACTTTAATTTCCCACCTTTTAACCCTGCTTTTATCCAGCAAGCTGAGCTAATCGCTCATCTGCAAAAGCGCCACTTTCACGAATACGTTGCATATGTAGAGCAGCAGTGTCGTCAACAATTCAAGCAGTCACCGCAGCACCCGCACACCGCTTCAGATATCCCATCGGCCGCTTTGTGCAACCGTCGCCCACCTGGCTCAGCTGCGCCCGAAGTAGGAGACATATCCGCAGACTCAGTGCTCCCAATGGCTACACCAAACACTCCACTGCCCGGTGACAATTTACAACAAGTAAGTAGCTCTAAATGGCTTTTTATCTGCCAGTTTTGCTCATCTTGCTTCTGTTTAGCTGCTGTTGTTTGACTTTATCATGTTTCCTATTGGTAATCTATTCCCGGGCTGGATAACACAGTGCTTAGGGAAACTAATATAGGCTGTGACCAGGTGGCTAAAGCGGTATAGGTCCCAACTAGCATCCCAGTGATCCCGGGTTCCATGCCTGCTAATCATCCTGATGAGGTCAAATGAGGTCTAAAAGCATTGTGGAATTCAGTGTTTTCAGGTGGATAACACCCAACATCTACTTGCTTCATCAGTTACGGTACCGGTGATCAATTTGACTAAGGTTCGTTTCAATGTGAATTGCAGTCCACATTGAAATTGCTTGTCGCAGTCCACTCACACAATGAGTACTACTAGTCGATATTCTAACGCACTTACTCTACTGTAATTGCGAGCCTTCTATCTAACCTCAGGCCGTTTTCCTATGGGGCAAGGAGCGAACGGCGCATAAACGTCGGTGTACTCAAGCTTACATTATCTGGAAAATGACCGTTATTCGTCCCATTTTCCTAACCGAGTGGTATTTCTCACATTAAAATGGCTATGAAGTGCTTTATGTACCTTTACTCCACTTAACGTTCCGTCGCACTCTACCCTGGTGACCATATCACTGCATTGCCCTTGCGATGCGTGTGGCTTTTCAAACTTTTGGCCACTTGTGGAGGCAGTGGGATTTGGGTTTATGAGTTTCGGAAAGCGTAACAGTTACCAAAGACCATAAGGGCTAAGTTGTGCTGGTTCTCATCATGTTCCCGGATGGCGTTCTCGGGGCTGATCACTATGATAGTTGAATGTGTTGCCACACATGGTTCGCCCACGATGCTAGTGGCGATCTTGTACTCATTTCTTTAACTGTACCGTTCGACAAGTTCATTTCTTGCCCGTTTGCCTAGAATTATTATTATCGTTATTATTATTATTATTATTATTATTATCTTGGTGATGTGCTTAATGGCCACTGGAACCACCTCACTTAGGTGCACCGATCATAGTTGATAGGTCAGGTCAGGCTAGGTCAGTTTCCAAGGACGAACATAGGTTCCCATCTAACGAGCGTTCTATTTCTTGTACCGGAAAGCAAACCAGCGCCCCCCAGTACTACGATTTCTGAGTTGTCTTCCTTGCCTGTGCAAAAATATGAAGCAAGAAAAGAGCAATCTTTGTACTTTCTTAGATCATAGACCTTAACGATCTATCACAATTGCCAATAAATGTACCATAATTCAGGGAAAAGATCTGGCCAACACTTATCCAGGCCGTTTTTGAAGGCTGTTACAGTGACACATTCAATTAAGGCAGAAGAAAGTTTGTTCCAACTATGAACAATTCGATTTGCAAAGAACTTGGCCCTAATCTCCAGCCTGTACCTCTGATACTTACTCTTAAGTTCATGTTCACGTAAGTGGTCAGATGCTGCAAGTTCAAACCAAGCGGAAAGCTTGATCCCGCTGATAGGCTGAACTCAACTGCGTTCAATTCGGTAGTGTTAGTACATGGGCTGCTGACGTTCCCGGAGCAAATGAGATGTATCATTGCGGTTGGAATGTATCTGAATGAGTGCTACTGATGTTCAGTGACAATTCCACCCCATGACGTGTATGTTTTGGCAGCACCTTTAGGAGTAGTATCAGGGCCTTCATGTTGATCTCTAGCTTGGTGGGGCTGCAGTTGTTTGTTGCCAGACTTGACTTATCGTGGAATTCCATCTAACTAGAATACCACCGGTACATTTGGTGCCCACGCATAGTTTGTTAGCTAACAGAGACCGACTATGTGCTGACCAGATAACATCATATTGAATTTAACCCATTTTGGAGTGCCTTGCACTCACCCATGACCACGCAGCTCTGTTGAACGGATTATTCTCTTGTGACTTTTGCTTATTGCTACCATGTGAACCTACTTTTACACGATCTCGATTCCCACTCATGCACTTTTCGGTCTTTCTATTTTGGGTTCACTCTGGGTACGATGTACTTTGACAATACTGCGTACCGTACCCATTGTCCGCTTGTTGACCCATGTACTGATGCTGCCAAACTCTTCACATCATTTACACTACCTTTAGCTAGTTAATACCTCACACTACCAAAATTTCAACCGTTATTTTCTATAGCTTGAAAAGTGTTTTCCCATCTGCTTGCATTCGACCTAGCTGCTTAATTCACCCCATCTGAAGCAGTGGCATGGTGGCATTCTTCTGGGTCCCTCTACCGTATGTAGCGATGGAATGGTTGGTTCCTTGTTCGCGCTGTCCCGCATTTGAGTTCCCCATCCATTTGAATCGAAAATCCATGCCGATCTATAGCCCACCTTGTTCAGCTTTCGACGTTTTATACATTGATACATTGTTGACACCATAGCAACAGTACCATGGAAACCAGCACAGCCCTCTTACCTGACTTTGGTCCGTGCAGCTGCACTGACCCACCCACCGATGAGTGCGATATATCGATCAGCAAGTGAGCCGGCAAGGTAAGCAGAATTATCAAAGGTATAGGAATGATGAACAGCGACACCACCAGTATTGTAATTTCGCCTCTTCATTCGACCGTTTAGGTTGAATATATGGAATTTACTTCTGGATCACGTATTTGGCTCACATTTGATTTTGTTCAGATTTACTCGCTGAGCTCCCAAATCTAGGCAATCATTACGTAATCTTCAACAAGCTGTCATTTTGGAGGGCAGTGAAATTTGCATTACAGAGTGCTGCATTTTGGCGCGCTGTTTGATGTTGTCTGCATAGCTCCTATCCAGTGGTTACCACGAGTGAACTTGCAGGGCACAAATCCTCTTTGGTCAGAGTTTGCACTGTACCTGCGTCTTATTGGTCAACCAGCTCTGTCCGAACTTCCAGTTTACTATAGTGGCTACTCGTGTGCAAGTTGGCGTCACCCACGATTCTTATAGGCCTTGTGTTTGATACCAACTTGCATAAATCCACTTGTAATTGGCGGTTGAACTGTTCGCCTCGGTGAGAGTGCTGAGGCTCCTCTACACTACTGCACGCCACTCAACTAAGCACTGATGATATCACCACGATTGGTGAGGAAACGTTTGCAACAAAATTTCCAAGCTCAGCGAACAGCTCATCCGCCATCTGAACCACCTGAGCTACCAGTCTTCCATTCTATAGCCAGCCACTTGTAATTGCTCTTCATGGTACACCGTGACAAGTTGGCAGCTGCTCGTTTGTCACTTAGAGAATTGTCGCCGTAGACTCCAGAACCGTCGGGTATTCTCCTATCTTCTCCGTACTGCAACTAAAGATAACTGCAAAACCGCACTCACCAGTTCTTCGCTTGTGGATTTCCATTACCAAAACTCTCATCTAGCACGTAGAAATTATTTGGTGTAAATGGCTAACGAAAGTGACTCTTGCAGCAACGATTGCGCGGCAAGCATGCTTCCGCATCAGACCCGATGGTGCTGAACTTTCAGTTTTCCAGCGGTAGATACTTTCCATGTAGGCTCCTCAGTTGCCTCGGTTTCGGAAGGGCCGGTCAACTTCTGATTTACCATTAAATCTAATTTTCATTCTCTTCGTTCCTTCAGTTCAGTTCACTCAAACAGCTATGATCCGGGCAACGAAATGTGGCGGATTCAGTTGCTACGACTCGCGTCACAAGGATAACAGTAATTAACAGTGGGGAGAAAATGCGACAGAACGATAGTTCGTTAGGAAAAAATTAAGCGAAATTAATCTGAGTAGAATATAGTCAGTTAGATGCAGGAAATCGAATACAAGAGCTCCACTGAGTCCTCAGCTGCACCATGTTAGATGAGGTCTCTAACCATTCCACAGTGCGGACATGTACCAGCTTGATCGAGTCTCACGATCCATTTATGCCACATCATCGGCTGGCTACCTCGCGGTTTTATCCAACAGTGACGCTTACTGACGAACGAGCATACCTGGCACTCGACCTAGCCAACTTAAGCTGTTCAAGTTTAACAAACACCCCATTGAGGTGCCAGAGGGTTTCATTCCAAACACTTGATATCAAAACTCCACATTGCTTACTGGGTTTTCTTATTTGCTTCTGTTTCACAACTTTGTCCTCAACTATGCGACTGACACTATCCATCCTCGTCCTTCAAATTTGATCCATTTACTGGTTTATGTCGTTGTCAAAAATGTCCCTTTTGGTGACACAGCACGCCTTCCATAATTTTTCATCCGCAATTAAAATCGGACAACTAAAGTCTGGGATGCTCATTCATCTTCGGCAGTCGTATTATATACATAGTTTACAATCCTCATACAGAAGAGCGGTTATTTCCCCCACTGGCGAACTACTTGGACTCGGCCTGTGCCTTGCTTACGATCATAAGGCTACCGGTACGAATCCCCTTAGGGGCGGGCGTCCTCGCCGTTTATTCAGCCCACGCGCGACTGGTGGTGGTCGCGCGGCAGCGAAACGCTGTTTCGGCGTGCAGCTGACGATTTGTTATTTTATTTTTGGCGCAATGATGTCGGTATCACGTTTCTCGGATGTAAATAGACGGATTAATTGATTTATTTTGACATGCTTCACAGCGAATGGACTATTCTACGGTCCCCGCTCTTTCATTTGTGTGTCTACACGGCATGAAATTGTCAAATTCCCTCGAATCCAGGTCGTTCCAGTTAGCCAACTACGTTCACTGCTCCGGAGTGTGGTGAACCCAGTTACCGTGATTGTCATCGCCAAAATGCCAATGTTAATACTACTTATACAAGGGGGAATAAATCGAAAGTAATATATTTACTGGTGTATAGTATTATGTATGAGCTTTACTCGCATAGGTCTGCTTCTATTTTTCAAGAAACAAGTTACATTTTTCCTTCAGCCGTTAGCTTCTCGCTACCGACAGACAATTGTTTGAGCTGCATGCAAACACCAACTCGGAGTTTTAATTGTGCTAGACCTCGTGAATTCCCAAATCTCTCTAGCACTGAGAGTGCTTCCTAGTCGACCTTTTGCTCTCCATTGGTTCATCAATGATGCGCTGCCTACATTCGCAACACCTCTCGCTGTAACTAGTGGCATATGTTTGTGACTGCCCTTGCAGACCGATCCGACTAAACCACCACAACGAAATCAGTCTTTGTGTGCAGCTGGCGATTGTTTGCTTTTATTTGCTATCGTACAAATTATGCAGACATTCTGTTCCCTTGTTAAATCCCACAGATCACCTCTAGGACAGTAACACCGTCCAAGTTTGTCGCGGCCGATTCCAGCAAAGAGAAACTACCTTCAGATGTTTGTTCAAACCCCTCACCAGATGCCAGCAGTGAGTTGTCTGTTTCACATTTAAGTTGGCGGCAGGTCGTTACAACGGCGTTTGGATATTTTGATCATGTATTCATCAACAACCATCCCTGTGTGATATATCTTGTTTTCTTCCAATGCCCTGTCACCCCACTAAAACTACCTGACCATTCTCCACTGCTTCTCTAAGTATTTCTGGATGAGACAACACGAGCTTTTCTTCGAGCACTACCTTATTCGTGATACAAATGTGGCTTAAATCAGAGAACTTGTTTCCGTAGCAGTTTTTTCGAATGTACAAATATGTTAAATCTGGCCTGGTAGGATGCCACCTGAAGATTGCCCAGAAATGAGCTAGAACAATGACAACGAGCCTGTGCTTCGGGTCCGCGGATAACTTAGGCCTTATCGTGAAGCGATCCACATCTACTCTAAAAGTGCATGGTCGACGGGTCCCAAGCTCGGTACATCTCTGTTCATGTAAATGTTTCATGCTGCGTGTACTTATGCACAGCTGAGCACTAAATTCCGGATTGAAAAGGCGGGGAACAAGCATGTGCGGTTAAATAGGCGACAACTTGTAAATTTGCACTGTGTGCGTCATCGATACGTCGGATCTCCCAAGGATCCATTTATCCTCCTTTTGCATGATATCATCATATTCCGGCCGATCGATGAAAAGCGCATAAGACCATCCTTGTTGTTGGTCAAATTTGGCATACTCTTCATGCGCCCACCTCTCTCTTGTCAACTGATGTGCCCGACTGTACTCCTACTATCCACCCCAGTCCAGGTGCACCCGCTCGATAGAATGTACAGACGTTTCGTCAGCAACAGTACTGTGGAGCTGATGAGGATATTGTAGCGTTTAAAGAAAATCTTTCACATCTGGATTCATTCGTAGTTCTGTGTTGTAACTTGCCTGGTAAAGGGTGAATGTTTCTACTTTTCCAAACTCATCAACAGTCTAGACTACCCTAATCCAGTGGCCAGGTGATAACAATTGCAACACTTCCACAGGGTGCTAACGTCTTGCATGACCAAGCGATTATCCGTCGCATAGATCAGGTCATACTCTTTCAGTCCGCGCGTTGCACTCATACAGTGGGCTATGGCAACCCTCTGCATAAAAGTCAACCATCACACGTCTCCGTTGATTATTGTGGATCATTTCCCTCGTACTTTGCCTGGAAGTTATGCGCTATACTGACCAATGAAAATGCACTTAACAACTACTCTTCTTTTCGAGAGTTTCGGAACTAGTTGTATCAATCTCCACCATCTGTAGCGCTGACCCGACATCACCCTCCTCCTGAATGATAGCTTTTCGTTCATCCCTCCTGTGCGGTGGTTAAACCTGACTCATCAAATTGACGTAGAGTTTTTAGTTACGTTCGATCATCGCTGACTTCACAGCTTAAATTACGTTTGGTGATAGCACCGCGTGAACAATGTGCGTGTTCGGCGTCACGTATTTGGTGCAGGAAGAGCGGGTGAACCACTCAGTATCATTATATCACGTACCAGGCTCCGACGGCTGGGCAACGTGTTGCGCAAGCCAGCCCACAGTCCTGCGACATGCGTTGTTTGCGCGCCGGGGGTATGGATAGGAGGAGGAGGCCAAGCGATGACTTGGTCTAGAGGAATGAAGTCTCTCGCTTCGAACTTTGTATCGATTGGTGTTTCCTGACTGTCGGACTGGGGTCCGAATGACGATAAACACGTCCAGTTGGATGCACTAGTTGACGTGGCAAGGAGCCGACCTCACTGGCGTTTGTGTGGTGAATTTCTTTGTCCCCTCCATTCCGCTTGTCTTCCGCCTGTAACCACGATCTCACTGTTGAAGTATAATATGTTACTAAGCAGTTTATTACTCGTTTTTTTGTAATCTACAATATTTATTCTTCTCTTTTTCGTAAATTATCTTTTTTGTATTGCGGCACAATAATTGAAGTTTCACCTTCAACTAATGTGTAATAATGACGTGTCAACTCATTTAGTTTTCGCTTTGTTTTGTCTTGATTGCTCGTGACACCTCGCGCGGATTTTTTTATTTGTGTAATGCTGGATCCGATACAAACGCTTCATCATGTTGTGGCACGCCGGGTTTCGCATACCTCCGATAACATGGCGCGGACAGTCCCACAATAAACGCGCTTTTTGTTGGAGAGACGGTCATGGTGGTGCAACAGATACCTAGAGAACGCGAGACGAACTCTTGAGATGAGCATCGTAATCTCCTCTCCAATAGCCTCATTAGCAGTGCTGCGGCTTTCCAAAAAACAACGACCTGCAGTGTCCCGCCACCAAAAGTGAGTGCAGACACCTGTCACTATTCAAAGAGAGCTTTTCAATTGAACGGGAAAAGGCACATACCATACTTTGTTGCTTCAGACGCCAGGTGGTAATGTGCCACTTGGACGCCATGTGGTCCGTCACCCAGTAAAACGATTCCATCAGCTTAGTCCAAATCAGAAACTCAACTACCAAGGGGAGTCCAACGCAAGCGTTCAGAAAATCTTCCTGGGCATTTTTTAGGCCTTTCTCAAAGGCGAAGTGGAAGAGGAATGTGAAGACAAGGCATCTTTGTCGAACCCCACTGACAACAACGTAGGAAAGCAAAAACTTTCCATAAACCCTAACTACCCGATTTCAGAGTATAAATAGTATGTGGTACAGAAACAAACATTTCGGGGATCATGTTTCTCTACAGACAATGCCACAATGCAGCCCTGTTGACATAGTCGAAGGCACTACGGATTTCCAGGTATACAACAATCATTGGATTTTGATTTACATGGCATAGTGAGACAATTTGATCGGTGTAACCGCGACCAGGGTGGAACCCAGCCTGTCCTCCTTGTTGTAGTGCTTCGCGCGTTGGGTATAGCCTGCAAACTATGATGGATAACAGAAGATTGCAAACGACGGTAAGCAAACGTATACCCCCTGAAGCTGGAGCACAGGTCTTTTTTGCAAATGGGGACGACTATCGACTCACTCCGAGACATTGTAACCTTTTTTATCAAACTTTAATATATAGGACGGTAACTTCTCAAACCAGCAAATAGCCGCCATCTTTAAGTACAACGGGAGTTAGGTCATTTATGCCGGGTGTTTTATAACACTTTCGGAGCAGATTTGGTCAGATGGAGGATCTGTGAGCATTGACAACTCAACACCAGTGCGCGCTTCGGAAAAAGCTGGCGGAGCTTACAACCAGCATAACTACGATCCAAATTGTTTAGCCCATCGCCCCAACCGTCGTAGAAGGTTAGTTATTGAGGAACTGTCATCTTCGCATACTGTTTCACTTAAACCAGATCGAATATTTATAGTGACTCGGATAAGATGGAAAAGCTCTTTCCTATTCCCGCAGCAGATTCTTTCTCTAGCACATTCACACCACCAATTTTCACGGTCCCTTCGTATGCATCTGCGCAGTCCTCGACTTAGGGATCGACGTGCTTCACTACAACTGGCCTCCGCCAGTAACAACGTCTGTCAAGTCGCGGAGATCCAGGTCTTCGGTGGGTGACGTGCAACTCTACAACTGTCGATAGTTACAGAAACCAAGGCATCATTAATGCACGCCCATCGTGAATTAAGCCCATCGTCAAGATCTGAGCCAAACAGTGTTGACAGTGGGGTTTGGTACTTAGTTAAGGTGATAGGATTCGGTAAATTTGCGGCGTTCCGTCAGTAGTGCGTGCGACTGGACGATCATCTGAAACGCACGCAAACTTTATCATGAACCTCTGCGATTCAAGTTCAGACATGATCACTATGACTAGCAGTCTGTTACGCTTTCGTGCTATCTGTAACGTGCTGTTATGTGGTCAAGCCAGGACCATTTTTGCGTTCGAGAAGGTCCCTGGATAGGCCAAAGTGCTATTTGACATCAGTGTTTCTCGTAGAGGACATATTGATGACGGTGCTAGAAACTCAAGACCAAAGGAATGTTGCGTTAGGAATTCTTTTTGTGTAAACTGTCATCGGTATCAGACGTTTGCATGGCAGGGATTAGGTGTCGTTAGCATCAAATTAGGCTGTGAAATTGATTTCTCGGCTGTTTAAATAGTCATATCAATGGCTCAGGTCTAGTCCATAGATGGTAATCAAGGTGAAGAAGTATTACTTAAAGGCTCGACAGTGCAACATAATCAGTTCAGGTGACAATTAAATGGTTAGATAACGTTGCCGAGGTAGTAGTAGTAGTAGTAGTGGGCATATGCACCGCTTTTGCACACATAATTCGGCGGCATTGGACAGGAGCCGCTTGCGGAAGCCTTGTGTGAAGAGACTAGGTAATGACTATATTACTTTGAGGTCATCCCAAACGGCTGAAGCCAAAATCAATGAGGTGTAACATAACAGAGCTGTTTCAGGATCTCACCTCACCTTTGTAGAACTAAACCGGGATGTGCTCGTGAATTCTCTGACAAGTGTCTCCTGGTGCGACCCACGTGTCGTGCACCACTGGAGTACGAGTACCGATCAACGAGCATTGAACGGGTCAACGAGCACTGTCCATCTTTGTTGTAGTAAAAGATTCTCAACGATTCCTCTCAACAGCATCCTTCAAAGGTAATAGGGAAGCAGCAGCAGCAGCAGCAGCAGAACCGCCCTTAAACGTTGAGTGCATGAACAGCTTTTTTTTAGGAGCAATGCTGTTAGGTGACTTGCGTTTATGCTCCCCCTGATGCTTCGATATTAATTTGTCTGGATTACCAATTTTCTATCAGAGTGTCTCTTATTCCCTGCAATTCTTCGTTCACGGTATCCGTTGTGCAAATACTGCGCGCCCTGAATGTGAGAGATCGGATCAGCCTTCTCTTGTACTGTAACGGCACCGCGCTATGGAAGTATTACCCAACCCATGTATGCTTTCTGTGCACCTTTCTGCTGAAAGACCCATCAGTGTTACCGACAACGTCTGCATCCAGAAAAGGTAGTCGGTTACCATACTCATGGTCGCAAATGAAGTGAAGATTCTCATGATCGTCATCAAAAGCTTGCTTT